AAATATTTATCTGGTGGCTCACTGCGCTACCACATGGCTTACAATTTAATTTTTACGTATTGATCTTTGCTTTACGTTTTCTGACCATTTCAACCAGTTAGAGTTGAATTTTTAGGTAGCTGTGACGAATCGTCGTTCTGTGGATACGTATCGAGTGTACCAGGACGAGTGTATAGAACTTGCGAAGAAAATCGTCGAAGAATTCAAGGATCCGCAACGACCTGAGTGGAAGCCTCTTATCTTCCAAACCGATGGTTAGTTCATAACTTCGAAGTTTTGATACCCATTCCACGTTGACTGCAGGGCGAGGTCATTTGGACCGTCGTGCTCAGCGTCGATGTGTATCTGAAGAAGTTATCTACAAGATAACTGTTACTGTGCGGCATAACTAATATTAGCTGGAAACGGAATGGTTTCAATTTATCATATTGCCTTTCTCTTTCTCAACATTTTTTATTATTTTTATTAACTTATGACACCACGAGGTGTTTTTCTATAATGTACGGACGAGACATTGGGTGGGGTTTATTCAGGTATGTATGTAGTTGTTTATTTCAGGATTACCGCGTCCAGAATTAGTAGCAGCATACATGGCTATGGACATCGGAATTGTAACGCCAAAGAAGGATGGCATGAACTTGGTGAGCTTTAAAAAGTTTGTTCAAAAATGTCTCACCATTACAGCGAACACCCTGAACGGAAAGTGAGTTTTACTGCAACGGCGAACTCCACACCTCTTATTACTTCAATTTTCTCGTTTTGTCTGCGTTCTCTGGTTTACATATGTAGCACCCCGTGACCACCTTGGCCCCTGCGCTTCAGGGTTCTACGACAGAGCCATGCTAAAACTTCGGGTAACCGGGAACCATTTTCTATTCCGCGCAACTTCGCCCTGTTCTCCAATATATCCTTTCGGAAAGTATTAGGTTAGGTACCTTTCCGCGGTGACTCACGTCTAGTACGCTTCCACCGCTCTGGGGAAGGTTGAAGCATACATATGTCATGCACACACTGCATTAGCAGGTGCGGGCTGGAACATCCATGTAACGTATTAGACAGACTAGAAAGTCGGCTTATACCCCATTATCAGCAATGCTGTCTGACTTTCGGACTCTCTGCGGAGTACTAAGTACGTAACCCTTACTACTTGTGTGGTACAATTAGGTCCTAGCTGCGCAAGCCACTCCGGGACAAAGCTTTTTCAACCCTCGCGCGGCGACTCGGGATCTCCTGACCTCTGCTTGCAAAGAGAGAAATGGTTACAAATTCACGGCTCCATTATTTACCAACACTTTCAAATGAAAAGAGAAGTGAGGAAATGAGCAAGAACGGAGAGCAGAGAAGAAATCTCGGCAGTAGCGAACTCCCTAGTACCGGTAAACGTTCTAAGTTTTGAGGATTTGTAGTGAAACAGACGCTGGAAGGCTATGGAGTTCCACTTCGTTTAAGACTGCAATTCAGTCTGAATGAGTCCTTAATTCCAGGTGGCAAAGGAGATGATGGTGTGTAATCCGCGAGCTGGTCTGATTCTCTCCACTGGTGCTGGTTCCGAGATTCAGTTCACCACTTCCGGTCTTTACAAGGAAGATGGCGAGAAGAATTACCATCGAATTTCTAACCTGTTTGATGTCGAGGTAGGTTTGTTTTGATCCCATCAGCTGAGAGATGAGAAAGAGCACGAAGTCAGAAAGGCAGTTTTATTCCTTTTTAAGGCCTATGCCGATGCTTTCTACGCAGCTGCAACCGAACCTGTAGAGGTACGAGCAGCACATGGAAAGCGACTGAGTGAATTCATTTTGTCCAATGACATTGAACGGTTTGCATCAATTTCTCAAGCACTTATATAATGAGTCTTTTAGAAGTCAATAGTAATACCTTTTCAGGTGGAGTGCCGCCTTTTTGGATCCGAGCTGGACCCACCAAGTGATCCGGCCTACTCAGGTACACTGTACTTTCCTGTAATTCAGCTGAAGGGAGATTAAGTACTATTTAAATTTTCTGGAATATTCTGCACAGGGCTTGGAACTTAGCAATGCGAGAGAGTCTATACCTTTTGAATTCCAATCGAAAAGGTTTGTACTTATTGCTCTTACCAGGTGAACACATTGGAGGACTTTTTCTCTCTGATGATGCGTACGAGGAACGTTCGACGGCAAATTGTAGATCGCGTACTGAAAGGAATTCCAATTCGTCAACATTTCATGATAAGCATCAGAAACGCCAAGGTCAGTCTCCTATCCTGTACTTTTCTGCTACTGATTACTAGTTCTTATAGGAAATGATTGAGCGTTTCGACCTCAAGTTTTGAATGCCCAAATTCCTGCCTAAATAAAACTTTATCAATCAAGTAACAGTAACTATTGCTACCAGCATGCTGCGTTCGTTCGTTCGTTTCGCTAGCATAGAAGTGTGAATATCTATAGACGAGGAAATCGGTGAATACCGCCATAGCATCTGCTTGGCTCCCGAAGCATTTCTACCCGAGGGAGATCGTCGACAGTACTTTACAGCCTTGATGACCTTGCTCAGATCTATCAAGTTGTGGTGGACTAAGCTA